ATCCCAGACAGAAGAAAGTGCCTTTTCTGACGTGGTTCCTACTTGAAGCTGCTCTCCGCCCCCATCCTACACTGGCTTGGCCTCCGAAAAGATCTCAATTCCTCAGACTTGCCAAAGCACAAGGAACCGACACGCTCTTTCCATTCACGGACCATTATTCGATATTGTTCCAAGGATAGCCATTGCCTTCAGGCAGAGTTTTCAACAACCGTCGGCCTCAAGACCATTTGGAGACCTGGAGCATGTTCTTATTGTCGCTCCAGTGTTGTGCACCTGGTACTAAATGACTGATGAACGACTTGACAGAGATTGACAGCTTCACTGAGAGCGGCCATCTCCCATGCGACAGCCAACGTGGGTCTGAATGTGACATCTCTATTTAAAGGAGCTCGCCAACAAACTGAGACAAACCTCAGAACTACATCAAGAATCAAACTCATCCAAAACCAAGTCAACAATCTACTGACGCTATAGAGCCTGCAGGTTCTCGACACAACTTTTGCTATGGCTTTAAACATCGCGTCGATACGAGACACGAAATGGCTGACTCTCGAGGTGTGCCGGCAGTTTCAGAGAGGGACGTGCTCGCGCAGCGACGAGGAATGCAAATTCGCGCACCCACCCAAGAGCTGCCAGGTGGAGAACGGACGGGTGATCGCCTGCTTCGACTCGCTTAAGGTACCATTTTACACTTACGTGACGCATTTTCTTGTTTGCAGCTTTCTTATTACAAAAAGACATTTGATTTGCTCGGACTCATTCCGAATGTCATTTATTGGTGGAAAGACTCATTTTTGAGGATTGTTTTGTTTCATAAATAAATCCAAAGAGCATGAAGCATGGCTAAGGGCGAAATGCCTTTGGCGAAATGCCTTTAACTATGGTAAAAACACTATCTCATGGCTTTTTTTTCTCGTTTTTTTTTTGTTTTTTTTTTGTAAACCACACTAACAGCAATATGATACACGAGTCCAAAACAGCAATTTGGCGCGTTACTATAGAATTGCTGTCACAGATGTGCATTTATCTGCATTTTACATCATTGGCCAATCAGAGTTGAGTACAAAACAAGATGTTCCAGAAAATACGGTATTGTGATTCTTCCACCAAAAATTATATTTCATGCGTGAAACTATTTATGTTGCTATTTAGCTAGTTATCACATTCAGTTGTGTATATTGTAGGGCTGTCAAACAATTAATCGCGATTAATCGCATCCAAAATAAAAGTTTGTGTTTACATTATATATGTGGGTGCACTGTGTTTAATTTTTTTATATATATAAATACACACACATGCTTGTATATATTGAAGAAATATTTTCATGCATATATTGTATATAGATTTATATATAATTTATATTATATATAAATATGTTATATATAAATAAATAAAAATGTATTAAATATACATGCATGTGTGTGTATTTATATATATATATATATATATATATATATGCAAAATAATTATACACAGTGCACCCACATATATTATGTAAACACAAACTTTTATTTTGGATGCGATTAATCGCGATTAATCGTTTGACAGCCCTAGTATATTGACAAATAGCTGGAACTTTGTTTTATAATACATAAGTTCACTATTGCATGGCTTTTTTCTTAGTTTTATTAAACAGCACCAACAGCAATGTGATAAACGATACCAATCTTAGATAAATAATTGTGTTGATTAATAATAATGCACAATTTCAACAAAGCAACTTGGTAATTGCTATAGATCTGAGGTCACCGGCGTGCATTTATTTGCAAACAAAAACATGGAGACTTAAAATTTTAGAAAATATGATAATTGCCATTCTTCTGCATGCATCTCTAGACTATACGACAATTGTAGCTAGTTATCGCATTCGCCGTGTGTTCACAGCTGTGTATATCCATGTTGGAATCTAAGTTCACTTTGTGTGCATAAACACCATATTTGACTGATCAGTTTCTAGGCAGTTATTATTATGTAAATGAAGCACGGGAACTCGCTGCACCCGGTAATTGATCGCATGAACGTCAACACATTTTTTGAGGACACTTTTTGTGTTGCTGGCAAATAGCTTGTCTTAGTGCAGCACTCTCAAATTAGAGTGCATGTGTCAGCTCAGCCACACTGCATACTGCACACTTCAAATAAAGCTGACCCATAGAGAGCGAAAGGGCAGCGCCACTCTCTCTTATACTGCCAGTTTTATGTCTTTCCATCTAACGTTACCATACCACACGTCCGTCATATGCGGCCTGGCAGAGGGTTTCGGTGAATGCACGTGCTGTTTTTAGAACCGTGACCATGTGCAAAACAAATGCAGTGAGCAATTATTAGATTTTAGCCCATGCTTTTTTGTTAAAGCTTCATGTTAAAATACATACTCTTTACCCAGTGTATTGTTTACTGACTACTATTATTATGGCATTCGTGGGTTTATCTCTCCCAACACTGTAAGATTATGCCTCACAGGCACCATCTAAACATTGAGAGCGGCCCACTCAGATCTGTCAATCACTTTCCAGCTCAACCTATCGTGAGAGTTTGGGGCGTGGCTACAGTAGTAGGCGGAGTCAGAGGGTGTTCGGATGCTAGTGCTTTACATTCAGCCTCAGATACTGCATTTAGACCTTTATTTCAAAGATTAAACGTACACGTAAAAGTGTGATGAAACACACTACAATGGACGCTTCAGTACCAAATAGCATCGTCATGCTCATGCATTGTTCAGAAAGACAAATGTACAGTTCATAATGGTTATTCACCACCTGTTAATTATTATTCACATCAATTCTATAATAATGCACCATATCTGGTCAGGCTAATGAATAAGTGAAAGAATAGTTTATTAAGGGTGTTTAGGGAGATGAATTTAAGAAGGCTTTTAAGGCATAGTACCATAAACTGCTAACAATATTTTTTTTAATAAATCGAAAAAAACTAATTTCCTGAAAATCTCGCTCCGTATCTCTCATTCAAATCCTGCCACCCCGCTCTCCCCAAATGAAATTACCAAAATATGCTGTATGTTGCCGAAAATCAGCAGGAGCAATTTTTTATAATTATTTTGAGTTATTTTGATGGTTCAAATGGTTAAAGAGTTACCGTAACATGAATACGGCTTGGTTAGATGTCTTGACGACGACACGACCAGTTTAATATGGTTAAAGTTGTCATAGTTGTATTGTGTTTCTGTCATTTTCATTATTAGGCTATTTTTTAAATGTATCTGTATATTTTTCAGCTATTTTAGTATTAAGTTGAAATAAGAAATGTTGGCTTAGCAGCTAGCTGAAATATGAATTAAAATATTAATATTTGTGAAAAAAAAAAAAAGGTTTTAGTTTAATTTAATAAACCTGCCGTGAGGACCTTTTTTTTAAAAAAAATTTACAGTTTCTTTACAAATTTTACAAACACTTTTTTACAAATTATAAATAATGTACACTATCATGACTATAATTAATAATAACTTAAATTAGTTTAATTTAATAACCCAACCGTGAGGACCCTAGCAACATTTTTTTTTACAAATGATAACTAATGTAGACTATATATCATGACTTTTATTATTAATAGCGTGAATTATTTATTAAACATGGTCTTTTATTATATTCTTCCAGTAAACCAGTGATCACAAACTGATCTTTTTGTTTGATCTGGGTCTCATAATGTTTCACGACACAGATGGCCGAGAGCCGAGCGATACAGCAATACATGTTTTAATGCGGCGGAAACACTGCGCCGGTGACATTGACAAATGCGCAGTAAAACTGGAGCAGCTCCTATCTCTCACAGGAATAATAGACTTAAGATGATACTTACCTTCATGTGCGCTGCAGTCCCGCCCTTCAAAAACAATCGTCAACGGCTTACACACACTCTGCTGTTTATCTCGCAAATTAGGCAAGGTCACTATGTAGGTCAGTGTGAGAGGATTGTGTTACGAGGCATGTGGGCGATCTCAATGCACTGAACCTGTGAGCGAGGTTGTATAAAGAGGGATAACGCTGCATTGACTGAGTTTTATTGCAGGTCTAAAGCTGATATGTGACCGTTTAAAAGGATTTTACTTGTTTTTCTATGTGCATTTAAATTTGCCAAAGCTTCTGCAATCATATTAACCCGTGGTCATGCATGCTCAGACTTTCAGTTCGCAGGGCCAAAGTTACATTTATTCAGGCAACATCCGCCTGTGGTGCTGCAGAACTGTTCTTTCGAGCTGTCTCGTCTCTGTTACTCCGAGGTGAGGTGTACTTGTGTCAAATTTCTGCTGAATTACTGTAATTTGCCATCGACTTGCGGTCTGTTATGGCAGTTCAGGTCTGTCAGAGATGACGGCTACCTAATGTGATAACAACTGCCTCCAGTTAGCACAATCGACCACGCCGTTTTGCACATCATAGGGCTTTCTGGGGGAGGGGGGGGGGGTGCAATGTGGTGCGTCATGTGATTCATGTCACAGTTTTAAGACTAAACCTCCATCCTAAATTGCTTAATCCCTTTTTGGGTCTTCTCTGAGCAAGTAGATGTATAGATTCTCAAAAAAAAAAAAATGTAAAAAAAAATATATATATATATATATATATATATAACCTTTACCTTTTTTAAATGATACCTTTTTTTAATAATAATCTTTTATAATTTATTTTGGTATTTTTGTTCATTGATTTAATAGCGCAGGACAATATATAGAATATTCGCAGTATTTTTGGGGGATATTTTTAAAATAAATTATGTTGAATTTTTCTTGGTTATTAATTTTCTCAGAACATGCCATTGGATGTTTATAACATGAGAGTGGTCATGACAATATATTTGTTTGTATTTATTTTAATGTATATTTTAACAACGGCTTAGATTCAAATGTCAGTTGCACGCAATTCGCATAAAAGTTCGTATTTCAATGAATCAGTTACAAATTGTTATTTTTTTTGCTCTTTTTTTTAGTGCATTTATTCAGATCTCTGCTTCATTTTTGTGATTCAAATCTCCCAAATAGCAATTTTCTTTAAAATGATTTAAAAAAAAAAATATTTTTATTGCATACTGTGTATTGTTATGTTAGTGCATATAAATCAAACTGTTGATTTAATGAAAAACAGTATGGAAAACATAAATTTTGCTTTTAGATTTTTACTCTTTGCTTTAAACAGCAATGCATAAGTAATGCAATATATATTCAATATAAATTTCTCATCTCAGATGTTCTGCATAAGAAAAACTGGCCCAAACCCGACCCAGAATCCATTCATTCGTTGTATCTTGTTTGGTTGGGGCGTCTGACCTCTAGAACTGAGATATTCAGCGTATTGCCGTATTAATTGAATCTGTAAAACACAGGGGCCCATTGAGACAGCATCTTTGGCCCCTGGGAGTCGACGGTCATCAGATTCTCTCGCTCGAGTCGGGACTCGAGGTGCTGCGGAGACTCGTGAGTTCCTCTGACTGCGTTGACCTTGCGAAGATGCACAAAAGCCCGAGTTGTTTTCCAATCAGCCATGTGCTCTGCATTAACAGATAATGAATCTGGTCAGTGGGCTCATTTGTAACGTTCACTGTTTCATTGTGACGCCTTCCTGCCGACCTCAGCGTTTGCACGGGTGCTGTGAGATTCTGCTGCTTTTCTTTTTAAAGTGCAGGTGTGTGTTGCATTGTGCTGTGTGTCCTGTCCTGTCCGGACCAGA